GAGGCAGGAGATGAGCCTCGAGCTGAAATTCAACGGGTCAGATTGCAGCGGCACCTCGACCTGCGCCAGACCCAGACGGCGTTGACCGCGCAGCGCGTCACGGCGGAGAACGGACTCGTGCGCGCTCGACGCCAAATTGAGGGGCAGGATCACAAGGCGTTCGACCCAGAGATTGCGAACCCCGCGGACTACATTGAGGGGCTACCAACCTTCCTTTACATGTTTGCGGTGCGTTCGGAGATGCAACGCATCCAGCGTTCCAGAACAGCTCGCGCAGTCCTCCTTCAATTTCCATGCCTGGGCCTCTTGGAACCGCTATTTCAAGAGACAGCCGCGGAATCGCCTCTGCAGGATCAATCGCGTCTTGAACGACAAGATAGGCCACTTCAGCATGATGGCGGACCTGGGGGAAGCAGTGGGCGCGCCGAGCGGAGTCCGAGAACCTGCTAGTAATGACTTAGGCCGTGCGCGGACCCAACCTATGACAGAGGGGGCTAGCCATGCAGAGAGGGATAAGCACCGGAGGCGCCGGCAGAACAGGAAGGCCAAGCGCCCGACCGAGCCGTTCGAGGAGGTCGAGGATGAGGGCGAGGACTCGAACGAGGGCGACGACGAACAGGAATAAGATATTGCGGAGGACGTGGGGCCCCGTGGTGGACAACCTGGCGTATCATCAGGTGGCCACCTTTACGGCGACGTTCCTGTGGCAGTACGAGACGCCCTACGAAGCCTGCGTCGAGAGGAAGGTCATCGCTGGTGCTCTGGCCAAAGCAGAGAGGAATAACAAGAGCCCGAGCCGACTCCAGAGGTAGCAGAAGGGGAAGCTCCAACGGCGAGAGTAACCGCGAGACCTGCGACAGGAGCACGGCGTCCTCGCGTCAACGTCGACCTTGCTGACCACGCGGTCCAGGAGACAGCCAAGGAGACAGCTTCCCGAGGAGAACAAGCCACTCCTCCCGAGGCCGAAGTACGTCGGGGCCGTCGGTGTCTACGTTCTATTCCCCGACGACAGCAACAACGTCGACGTCCTGGTCCATCGTCGGAGCTCCAGGGCGAGTTGCTCGAATGCGGTCGCCGCTGCAGGAGGGCGGGTTGATTGTGCCGATCTGAACTTCGCCCGCGAGCGAGACCTGGACTTCGATTGCGCTGCCAGGTGCGCGGCAAGTCGGGAGCTTCGCGAAGAAGCTGGGCTGCGAATCCCTGTGGGTGACCTGGTGTGGATCCCTGACAAGATCCCACCTCGCAAGATATTCGGGTACGTCTACTTGGTGCCGCCCGAGGTGCATGGGCCGCAGTGTCGCTCCCGTAAAGAAGTGGTATATCAGGGTGTTCAGAATGGGATTTCCTGCCGGATATCACTACCACGCCTGGGTCACCGTAGACTACCTCGTAGCTCTACCAGCATGCCAACAGCCTCTGGACTACATCATGGAGGTGGAGAAGGAGAGGATCCTGCAGACGAAGCAGGGCATGGTGACGCAGGCGGAGGTGACGAAGGACGGACCACCCGAACTCGAAAGGCACGGACGCTGGCCCACCGACGATGAGACCTGCAACCTGGCACTAAAGAGCCGCGCTCAGCCGATCGCGCTCAGAACGCGAGTTCCAGCGTGACCTTCAACGACCCAAACGTCGGATGCGATGGCCGTGCGCCATCAGTGCCGGAGACAGCTTACTTTCCGTGTTTGGCTGAAGTTGCTGACGCAAATGCAAGTCGGCATCGTTCAGAGTCTGGTCGAGTCGTGCAACGCGTTCGATTGCGAAATCGCGTGGGACTACCTGAAGACCGGAGACCAGACTGGGGACTACGACGCCCTCTGCGCGTACTTCCAGGTGTGCGCGGACACCGACCTCAGTGGTTCCTCCGATCCTCGCCCGGTGTCAGATTTCGTTGCGACTCCTTTCGAGGGCCGGCCTCGCTGGGTACCTGCAGCGCCGGCCATCGCCCCTGGCATGAACTGCAACGACTTTCCGGATATCGGTAGAAACCTATGGCATCGCCCCCTGGAAGAGCAGCAGATGATGGTCGACAGTTGGGTGGGCTGGGGAAAGAAGGTGAGAAGGCCACCGAGGACATCGCGGGCCAGATCAGGGCCATCGGCGAGGCAGGCGGATGATGAGGAATGGCGCGCAGGCTGGAGAACCTCAGCGAGTTGAACGGAGCAGGGGGCACCCTCAAAGGTAGAGTCGAGAATCCCCCACCCAATGGGCGGATCCGTCTCCGAGGCCAAGAAGGCCGCGGTGACTAGTGGTCACTGCGCCGCTGCTCCAGGACTGGAAGGACCGCCGGCAGAGCAGGCTGAGAGACGTCTTGGACCTGAAGAAAAGTACATCTGCGCCCACTGGGGGAAGCCTGCAGGCTGTCCAGGAAGAACAAGGTGGTCTTCAACCGAATGGTGAGCGACCGTTGGAAGACTGGTCACAAGGCCGAAGTGACGAGAGATTTTCTACTTGGCGTTCTTCTTCATTATGACTGATTTGGTCGCGTTGGCTCTGGTAGGGATCGAGGTGCCCGCTTTACTCGCAAACATTTCTCAGGGCGCATCGACGGTCCTCATGTCCAGGGGCCAATTGCGCATTCAACCGGACAGTGGTGGATGGTGGATTTGACGCCGACATGCGTTACGGAGATGCAGCGTGACGAGGGGCTCAACAAAAAGGAGGCCCATATCGAGACTGCGTACCACGGAGCCAACTTGGCAGCATTGTCATACATTTGGAGCTTGAAGGCTTGTTTGAGCTGAAGCCAGGACCTTCGGGCTGTGAAGACGTCTGCGGTATTTTCTGCGAAAGGGCGTCTCGCCGTACCTCTTGCGCCCGCTGCATGGTGCATGTGCCGTCTGATGTCAGCCCAGGGATGAACCTGTGCTCTTGCGTCTTCGAGCTGCAGGTGGATCGCCGCCGTCGTGCAGGTTATCCCAAGCAGCATGTCCACGTGCGATGGTGCCAGACACTGCGACGACGATGGAGATCTGGGACAGGTGCAGGCGAAGGAGCAAGTTTATGGATTGTACAGGGTCTGGAACCGCATGGTCAGCATGTACCTCGCGGCAAAGGCCGTTCCGACATTGTTTTCGAGTGCGCGCGCGTACTCAGATGAGGCGATCGAGGATTCCGGCTTCCCGGTTCTCGAGATCAAGCTAGTTTCCAAGGGCGAGAGGCGGGTTTCTCAGTGGACCAAGGGGCCCAGTGCGGCAGATCGTTTCCTGGGGCGCACTGGCAAAACTTGAGACCGACGTTGAACCGAGCCACCGAGTTTCATGGTTCAGATGGGGCAGGCTATGGACGCGGCGAAGCCGGATGAACTCATTGTCGTCGTGGACCTCGAACCAGACGATCTTTTCAAGGACCTCTCTTAGAGAGATGCTCTTGGGTCCTGCGTGTTCGTGGAGTTGTACCAGCTGCGCGTCACTGGGGCTCTAGTATTACATGGAATGGCTACGGTATCTACTGAGAGAGGAATTTCATTTTCTGAGGCGAGGCGGCGTGTCGGCTGCAAGAAAGGTAGGAAGTGTGGTTGTTGAGCCACTGCCAGCCTCTCCTCCTCCTGCGCCTCTCTCTGCGCTCCCTTGTGCGCCGCCATATCGGCCCAGAAGGGCCCCTGAGCTATCGTGGCGCGCTGGTGACGGACGCGCCCACGCCTCCGTAATAAGAAAAAGAACGTGCGTTCTTCCAGCACGAGTCCCCCTATTTGTACCTCGTGTCTCTCCGTGTCCATGCAGTCACACCCGTGCAAACCACAGATGCTCACTTTCCCTTGGGATCTCGAACTTCGACTTGGACGTGCCAAGGGTTTCCTCGCATATCTGGGAACGCTGGCCAGGGCGTCGCTCCCCAGTCGGTCCCTCAAAGCAGACCTGTCGCAATGCGTGGCCCGCTAGAGGGGTGACCGAGGGATCTGAAGGCCGCTGCGTATCGAACAGAACACGACGTTCGGTGTCTACTGCTCCTGCTCCTTGCAGTTCGCTGCGCGTGCTTCCCTTCGTACTACTGAGTAAACCCAGCCGCCTGCGACATGTCCCGCCGCCATGCCAGCCCAGCGTTCTCCGCGGCGACTTCGGGAAAACGCGTGAGGCCGTCACGTATGACACCTCGGGCCTTCGGGAGCCGTTTGGGGCCCTTTGGGGCGTCTTGGCTGCGTCTTCGGGGCGCTTCGGCTGGACCACCTAGGGGCGCTCTTGGACTGTTTGGCGCTGTCGAAGTCTGTCTTGAGGACTTCATTCATGTCTTGAGGGTTTGCGGAGGACGTTGAGGGCCGTCTGCGAGTCCCTGTGGACCAAGTTGGAGTTCTCTTGGGCCCCCTCTTCGGCCGTATTGGCACCCTCTTAAGCCGTCACCGGGCCCTCTTGGTGTTGGGGCACACACCCACGCGCAAATGCACGCGCACTCACAAACACACTACGAGGGCAGAGCTGCCCCCACCAGCGCCCGCCCGCCCTTGCGGACACATGTTCCTGATGGACCCGCAACGCGCGCAATGTGCAAGTCCTCCTGCAGTGGCACACAGCCGCGCCGCTCCGGTATTGCACTGCTCGAAGAGCACATTTGGGGCAACATCCGCATGTTTACCGCAACGTCAACAAACATCGTAGGTGCAACGGCTAATTTTAGAATCTCGAAGTGCAGCGAACCTTTCAAGTTTGCGTGCGTATACACATGCATAGGGAGGCCTCTGGAGGCTATTGGGGGGCTTCGAACGGCGTCGAGGGGCCTCCTCCTCCCCCCCCCTGCTTACTTTCCTATCTCATACCTCCTTCCTGCTCGCGCCTCCCCCGCTGTTGTCTCCTCCCGCCTTTCCTCCTCCCCCCCCTCCTACCTCCTCCAAGCTCCCTGTTCCCTCGTCCCTCCTCCATGCTCCCTGCTCCCTGTTCCCTCCCGCTTCCTCTCCGCTCGCCCCCCACTTCCCCCCCCTTCGTCCTCGTCCACCCTCTTTGTGTGTGTGTGTGTGTGTTTCTTTGATCCCCGCCCTCCCCCTTCCTGTGTGTCATGCTCTTTTTCCTCTCCAGTCGTATTTTTGTTGGCAGCCAATCTGCTTTATCGTGGTGCAGTTATTCTTTGCGACCAACACGACAGACTTACACGGTCATGTTGCTATAATTGCTTCTTTTCATGCATCAACATGTACTGTGTACTAGCATGCTCGCAGGGAGGTCGGGGCATGGGGCGAGCGTTCCGCTGGTGGCGACCAATATCAAGAAGTGCGGGAACACGAACCAATGGCGAATCGCGCTGGCGTTGTTCAATTGTTTCGCGCACTCCGCCGGCCCATGTGTTACATGGTAGTGCCGATGCCATATGCCTGCGTGTTCGTGGCGATTGTGAAGTTGTTAGGTGGAGGTCCTTTCCGAAACATTATGGTGGAACTCGCGTGGGGGAGAAGCAGCTGGTCCCCCTGGGAGGCCGAAGAGCACTAGAAGGCAGTGGCCATGTAATTACACAGGCACGCTCAGGTGGTGTTAAGCTCCCCTCCGTACGTTGGAATGTCGATTGAATTCCGTAGGTGTTTGTGCATACATACGCTTACAGTGTTTCGAGTTCCGATTTGCTTGACGATGTGCGTTCCGAATTGCAGTTTGAGTTGCATGTCGGTTGCAAATGCAGTCGCGTTTCGATCCGCATCGGGGTTTGCATGACGATTGCAAATCGGTTATCATTTCGATATGGATTGACGCTTTTATGTTGTTTTGGGTTTCGAATTGCATGTCGCTGGCATGCCGAATCTTTTATCGCTACCAGTTCTGTGCAAATTTGGTGTTCGGTTCAGTTTTAGATTTGAATTTCGTCCTCCATGAGTATTTGCATGCATATCGCACTTGAGTAGCACTTTGATGTTCATTCTGATTTCGTTCCGAGAGCCACTGGATTTGCATGTCGGCTCGCTCTTCCTATTGGATGGTTGCTACCGATATGTCAACCGTCAACCATAGCACAACCTGCGGGGCAACCCACGGGACAACCCGCGGGACACTCCACGTCAGCCACAAGACAACTTGCGGGACAACCGCGGGACAACCCACGGGACAACCGCGGAAAAACCATGGGGCAACGTACAACCTTAGGACAACCACAAACGGAGAAGAATTGCGCAAACTGACGAGAAAGTTGATGTACGACTTGGCCTGGTACATCGTCGCTCTCGGGCACTTTCGCTTTGTCCGCACGCGCACCACGAAGCAAAACCGACACCGATTCCCCGTTGGGGTTACTTGACCCTTACCTCCCAACTTCCGATTGTAGATGGTAAGATAGGTCGGCCACGGTGGTACATACGCACATATATATATATATATATTTATTGGTAGATCACCTTGGTATCGTTCTAGCTTTGAGCGGTGGTCGATCAGGATGGCCGTTGAATCCGTGAGGATGACCCTTGTTCTTCATGTCCTTACCCGTTTGGGCTCAAGGCTCTGAACGCGCTTTCTGGCGCGCGACGGATGGCATCGGAGCTGCTGGTCACAGTTGTTGCTGGTATTTCACAGGCGACTTACGGTTGGCTGCTGCGGTGCCCACCGGTGCCGAGCTGCCCGACCTTCTCGTGCCCGGCGATCCCTCCCTGTCCAAATTTGCACTGCCCTGACCTGCAGCGCCAGGCGTGCCACGCGACCCAGTGTCCTCAGGCGCCCTCGTGGTCGGCCTGCGAGGCGGGCGAAGAGTGCTCGTGTGACGTGGCGTCGTACAGCAGGTGGGTGCCTTTCGTGGATTTGCAGCCCTACCGGAACCTGGACATAGTGACGGTGGCGTGGGAGACGGTGCTGCGGGGCGTGGCGATTGAGATCGGCGATAAGAGCACCTGCGACTTCGGAGCCTTCCCCCAGGGACGGCGGTGGGAGAGGTTGCTGGACGAGGCCGACTGCGTGGCTAACGTGGAGGAGTGTCGCCGCGGCCCAGTGGTTCACCCACCTGGCGGAGCTGGCGGCGGAGACCTCGGCGTCGAGCCCGTGTCGGGCCCGATCGTCGACGCGGGCGCGGCGGGGAAGGTCCGTGGGACTCTCACCCCGAGGGAGCGCGACCGTGAGGTTCGTGCGCCCGCCGCGCCCGAGGGCCGCAGGGTGATCGCCGTGGCCAGCGAGTCCCTGTGGGTCGCGGTCGGCGACGAGGTGGCGATGCCGTCGGACGCGCTGATCTCGCCCGACGGGCGGATGGGGCTGGAGCCAGCCCCCTGCTCGGCCGAGAGGGTCTTCGTGGAGCGCCTGCGCACGGACGAGACGCCGGCGGACTACGTTGGTGCGAAGGGACCTTCGGCTTCGAGCTTGGACGCCTGCGTGGTGGGCGTGCAGCGCAACAGCCAGGGGGTCAGGCAGCGGTTGTGGCGCGAGGTGTCGGTGAAGGTGCCGCAGGTCGAGTTCAAGGACTGGCCCATGCCGGGGCCGCATACGGTGCTCTGGTGGGTACAGTTCGTGGACCTCCGCGGCGGCGGTCCCATGGACCACCACCGCGGATGGATGGCCAACCTGAAGCTGTCCAACACGTACTTCGGAGCTCAGGAACATGAGCACGGGATGCGAGCCTTCCAGTTCTTCGGGGAGTACGACCAGATTGACTTTCCAAATCGGGTCGGGCTCGAAGTGATCATGAGGCGGTGCCAGGTGATAGAGTTTCACTACGAGAAGACGAACAAAGGCAGCGAGACGAACAAGCAGGCGCAGGGGGTGACCCGCGACGAGGCGGCCTACTTCTCCGGCTCACACCGCTCAAGCGGGGAGGTGATGAACTGCCCCGGGTTAGTGGAGTGGGTTTCGAAAGAGATTGGCCGAGACGTCGGGGTTACCGGGCAGATGAAGAAGGCGCGGGAGGAAGCCAAACTCTCGCGCAAGGATGGCGCGTGATGAGCCTAGGCCAGAGGGCGACCCCACCCTGCTGGCCTTCACACATGAGGGGGAGCACGATCGAGGAGGTCGTGCGAGTTTTGTGGCCCAGCGCGACGCTCTTCCCCTGGCTGTTCATGAGCGCGTTCGACGTGATGAGGGCTGGGTGTCTCTGTCGCGATCCGTACGACGACGCGTGGAGGCCAGAGAGCACCGTTCCGACTGGGAGTCTGATGTGGCGCGGGCGCTCAACGAGCTCGGTGGCTACCAGGACACTCCCGCCAATGAGCCTGTCGGTGTTGACACCGACGGGGCCTCGCCGGCGCAATTCAGGCCTCCTGTGCACGACCTCGGGCTGACGCACGTTCGTGAGTGCGTGGCCCGGTGGGGCAAGCCTCCCGCCGACCTCACCTGCCGGGGAGCCTTTCGAGAGCTCCAGGCGTCCCACAGCTATCAGGGGTCCCCTGTCTCTGTGGCCCCTCTGAACCTTGACCTTCTCAGCCTTCCTGCTGCTGGGATGCCCCAGGACCTGGAGGGTCTTGTCGAGGATGGCCGCGATGAAGTTCAGAAGTTTGTTGAAGACTACCTCTTGCCAAAGGGTCAGGCGGGCGAGCGTTTGAGCTTGAACGGGGTCCCTAAGCGCCCCTACCTCGATCCTCTCCTCCACCGTCCTCGTGAATATGAGCGTGTCATCCGGGCTCTAGCTCAACGTGGGATGCTTGAATTCGGTTTAGAAGTAAAAGAGCAGTGTGGCCTTTTTCGGTCTGGAAGAAAAACAGGGCCCAGCGTTTAATCATCGACGCCCGTAGGTCTAACTGTTGGTTTAAGGATCCGCCGAAAACTCGTCTTGCCTCGGGGGATTCTTTTTCACGTTTGTTTGCCGCGGCCGACCTGGCCCTTGAATCGGGCCAAACCGACGTCCAGGATGCTTTTTTACCAGACTGCCCTGCCCGAGCCCCTCAGGCCCTACATTGGTCTCGGGAAGGTTCGGGCGGGACGCGTGGGTGTCACCTGTGCTGTAGAGGGGGCCTCTGTAGGACCGAACGCGTGGATCTTCCCAAGGCTGAAGGTGCTGGCGATGGGTTGGACGCATGCCCTCAACTGGTGTCAGAGAGTTCTGGAAGCTGCGTGTGATCGGGTCCCGGGCCTCAGCAACGACTCCCGCGTCCAGGACCACCGAGCCCCCCTGATCTACGACCAGTTGCGCGCGCAGCGTATGTTGACAACTTCGTGGCCTTCTCTCAGTCTGCAGGAAAGGCTCGGTCGGCGGCCGAAGGAGTTGCGACCGAGCTCGAGCGTGTAGGTCTGCGAGCTCATCCTGTTGAGGCAGGGCCAGGAGGCGAAGCTCTCGGCTGGATGTTCTCGAGTGACCGCCCCCTGGTGATCGGAAAAGAGAGAAGGGTGTGGCGTCTTCGTCTTGCACTTCAACACGCTTCGCGTCTGCGCTACCTGAGTGGGAAGCAGGTCGAGGTTCTTGTGGGCCACTGTACTCATCTGTTTCTTCTTCATCGGGAGCTCCTGTCGGTGTTCAGCGGGGTGTATGCCTTCATCGGGCGCCATCGTGGGGAGAGCGTTGGAGTCTGGGATGTGGTTCGACGTGAACTGCGGTGGGCCTCCTGTCTTATCTGCTTTTGCTCCCGGGACCTGTGCGCCCCCATCTACACGCGTGTCCTGGCCACTGACGCTTCCGAGTGGGGTCTTGGGGCGACGGAGACCGTGGGCCTGGAGGCCGACGTGAAGCACGCCGTGAGCTTTTCAGAGGCCTGGGGGTTCAAGGAGGGTGGAGAAGGGGCCCGTGAGCAGGCCCGGGAGCGGATCGAGGAGGCGAAGGTGACGGGGGAGAAGGCAGAGAGCGCTAACGTGCCGGAGGGCGTGGACGTCTGCGCCCGGCTGGAGCGGGGGGTCGACCTTGTGCCTCGATCCCTTGTCGGAGGCCCTTGGAGGACAGTGAGGTCGCAAGCTTGGGGTCGTCCTGAGAGTATTCCTGTTCTGGAGACCAGAGCTGCCCTATGGGGACTTCGACACATGCTACGGAACAGCCAGACATGGCATAAGCGTGTTCTCATCCTCAGCGACTCGATGTCGGCTGTTCTGGCTCTGAGCAAGGGCCGAACGTCCGCGCCCGGGATGCTCCGAGTTGTCCGGCGCTGGGCTGCCCTGGCGCTTGTGTCGGGATGTTCCGTCTACCTGAGGTGGATCTCGAGCGAGGAGAACCCTACTGATGCTCCCTCGCGGAGGGGGCTGCTGCCGCCGGCCGCCGTCGCCAGGCGTGGAGCTGGCAGCACTGCCGCGTGCCCCGACCTCGGCCAGGGTCCCCGGGGCGGCAGCCCAGCCGCTGCCCTAGCCGCCCCGGAAGGCGTCGGCCCTCGCTGGCAGGCCGCGAGCGCGAGACCCGGCTCTTCGGGGCATGAGGGGATCGACGCCCGTCGCGGCCCTGCCGAGGGACCACGCGCTGGAGGGGGTCGGGCCGCTGGCGCCGGCGCGGCGCCGGGCGCAGCCGCAGGCCCGACGTGCCGCTGCTCGCGCGGTTGCCCGCCGGGGCTCGGCTGCTACGAGGGCCCCGGAGCTGGCGAGGCTGAGTTACCTCCGGGCGGCCAGCGTCCGGCCGCGCACCCAGCAGCTATACCTGGAGAGCTGGGAGAGCTTCGAGGACTGGGCACGGTGCCGCCTCCTCCCTCTCCAGTCGGAGAAGCAGGTCGACGACGCGCTCGGGGACTTCTTCGACTACCAGTGGTTCGAGGGGGCGCACTCCAGCCTGGGCTCGCGCCTGGTGGTCTGCCTGTTGTGCAACTGGCTGGTCCGCAGCGACCGGTGGTCCATGGCGGTGGCAGTGCTGATGTGTGTGGTGTTCTACCTGAGGCCGAGCGAGGTCCTCAGTCTGCGCCGCTGCCAGCTGGCGCCGCCGCTGCCAGGCGGAGGCAAGGGCCGCTCAAGGTGGACGGTGACCCTCCACCCAATGGAGCTCGGGCAGCCGTCGAAGGTCAACAAGTGGGACGACTCGCGGCCGCTGGACCTGCCAGACCACGACTTCATGGTCCCGCTGCTGGAGGCCCTGTGGCGCCAGGCAAGCAGTCCAGACGCCCCTCTGTTCGACTTCACCTACCAGCAGTGGGGAGACGAGTGCAGGGAGGGCGGGCTGGCGCTGGGCCTCCAGGACTTGGGGCCGCCGACGCTGCGCGGGCTCCGACACGCGGGCGCGAGCCTCGCCATCGGCCTCGGCCGTCGGAGCCCGCTAGGCGTGAAGCACCGCAACGTATGGGCCCAGCCGAGCTCGATGCGTCGCTACCAGAAGGCAAGCCGCCTGACGGAGCAGTTGCACTTCCAGCCGCACGGCGCTCAGCTCGCAACGGCAAAGTACGTCTCCGAGATTGGCACCATCATGAGCAGGTCCTGCCGTTCTTGAGGGCCAACCACATTCAGGTGCGGTTCGCTATTGAGCTTTTTTTCAGGGACTGGAAATTTCTCAGCTGCTTGGAGACGGCACGTGGGGTTGCCTATCATTGAATTTGATATTCGCCATGGTGAGCAGTATGACTTAACGTTACCGAAGGTGCAAACACGTGTGCGAGGATGGTTGCTGGCGTCGCAGGTTATTGCAGTCTGGATGGGGACTCCATGTTCGAGCTTTTCTCGTGCCCGCGATCGGGGTGGCGGGCCTCCCCGTCTAAGAAGCGATTCTGAACCTCTGGGGCTCCCAGATCTCTCGGCCGTGGACCGTGAAAAAGTTCGAATCGGGAATGTGCTCATGACCTTCTCGGCGTCCGTCTTGAGGCTCTGTGCTCGTCTCATCATACCATGTGCGTTGGAGAATCCCTCGACCAGCAGGATATGGTTGTGCCCACCGATGGCTTCCGCCTGCCGCCTCAGCCCCGCGCATAGCATCCGAACCGATTTTTGTGGTTTCAGTATGCCGTGGCGCAAACGAACCAGAATCGTGAGTGTGCACGTAGATCTGTCCAGATGCTCTCGTCTCTGCACTGGCCGCGGCATTTGTAGCTGCAGTAATAAGCCCCACGTTGAGTTGTCCGGAAAGTCTAATGGTATTTTCCGAACTTTCATTGCCGAGCCCTACCCCCGTGCCTTGTGTAACGCTCTAGCGCATAGCTTTAAAGACGCCCTGGCTGCAATTGAGATATATGGCTACTGTGACCTTTAATCCGATGCCTCCAGTTGTAACTACGGCAAATCGGGAGTTTAGTATCTCTGAGACCGGTCCAGAGGGTTGTGTTTTATGAGTCGCTTGTTCCAGCCTTCTCAGGGCGAAGGTCTGTCGCCACGACATATCGCTGCTGGCCTGGATGAAAAAGAGCGGAGTGCAATGCTTGGTCGATCACCTTGGTATCGTTCTAGCTTTGAGCGGTGGTCGATCAGGATGGCCGTTGAATCCGTGAGGATGACCCTTGTTCTTCATGTCCTTACCCGTTTGGGCTCAAGGCTCCCAGAGCCCGCCCGCCCCGCCTATGATCCCCTGTAACTTTTTCTGGAGTTTAGTATCTCTGAGAACGGTCCAGAGGGTTGTGTTTTATGAGTCGCTTGCTCCAGCCTTCTCAGGGCGAAGGTCTGTCGCCACGACATATCGCTGCTGGCCTGGATGAAAAAGAGCGGAGTGCAATGCTGTGTATATATATATACACGTCTGATATATATATATATATATATATATATATATATATATATATATATATATATATATATATTTATATATATTCATACATACATACACATCTGTGCAAGACTGCATTGGCGTTTCGCGCCATGCATCTTGGTCCTTGAAGTTTGGTGTGTAAGCGGGATGTCAGGAATGTCAAGCGGACAATTTAGCGATACTTCCATGTTGCCTTTTCTGGCATCGTCGTTATGATAGTTTTTTCGTCATATTTCCTCCATGTTGTTTTCATTCATTCTCGCCATTCTCTACGTACTCTCTCCATCTTCCGCAGCTCTTTTTGCGGAGGCTCTTTCTTGGAGAGCCTCTGGGGGCTTCACACAAGTGTTTCAGGCTTTCTGAAGCCTTTTGGAGGCCTCCTGGGCGTCTTCTGGGGGTTTCCTCGGGCTGAACGACCCGTCACGATTTAGAATGCTTCGGAGGGCGTCGTGGGGCCATCTTGGGCCGTCATGGGGCAATCCTGGGCCATCTTGGAACCCTGTTGTGCCGTCTAGGGGCTCACTTGGACTGCCTGGAAGCCCTTTCGGATAGTTGTGGGGCGATTGTCGAGCCTCCCAGGCGGCGTCGGACGCCCAGAAGACCGCCGTCTTGGAGCTGAGCGTCGGGAAGCCGAAAAGAGGAGACCCCCCAAATTCACCAAAAACCAACATCCATTAATTTCGCCTCTTGGAGCCTTCTTGGGTGGTATGACGGCTTCTTTGGGGTTGTCGTGGACCGTTTGGGGGCTCTCTGGGGTCGTTTCGGGAGGCGCGTCGGGACGCCTGGAGCCCTCTGAGGCCGTCTGCGGGCTCTCATGGGGTTCTCAAGGGTCGTCTGGAGGGTTGCCCGATAGGCCCGCGGTGGGCCAAATTCGTCAGGGGGGGGCGCTTTTTCTGGGGTTCCCGGCCTTGTACATACATATATATATATGTATATATATATATGTATGTATATATATATATATATGTATATATAGATATATGTATACATATAGGTATATCGATGTGTGGGCAGGTCATCACAGGTCAATGCCCAATCTTCATTGTTCCTTGGGTTTTCTTTTGGTTTTGGTACACTCATCACACCCATCATCCACAACAACCGTCCACACACACATATATATATATATATATATATATATATATAAAACGGGATCACTTATTATCAGATCGGCCGTCACATGGTTAGGTGCACAGTTCGCTAATTTACAGGACAGGTGCATGGTTTGATAGACTGGTGGGTAGCTAGATTCCCAATCTGACGCGAAGCCAATCGCAAATCGAAAGCTTCTCCTCTCACCCCAACCTCCTTCTTCCCCGAAGTGTGGTCTATGAGGTACCTCATGCCAGATACTCTATCACGCCTTGGGCCCGTTTGGCCGGCGAATTCCGAGATGTTTTGCAGCTGCGCACGTGCGTCGACGCCGTGCTGTACAATATAGCCATCGGAGCCTGCGGTAAAGGCATGCAGTGGGTGCATGCGATTTCTTTGCTCAGGGAAATGGTGCAGGCAGACGTTGAATCTGATATCGGCAGCTACAGTATTGCAACCAGCGCGCTTGGAAAATGCAGTCGTTGGCAAGACGCATTGTCGCTACTGAACGAAATGGTAGAAACACACATGGATCCAGACATCGTGTGCTTCAATTGTGGAGTAAGTGCGTGCGAGAAACGTGGCCAGTGGCAACAGGCGTTGTCGTTGCTGAACTGGGCCCGTGAGATGAAGCTGCAGCCGAACGTGATCAGCTATAATGCTGGCATCAGCGCGTGCGAGAAAGGTGTGCAGTGGCAGCAGGCACTATTATTGCTCAGCGAACTGCGGGAAACGAGGCTGGATCCGAGCGTCGTTAGCTTTTGCGCCGGAATCAGCGCGTGTGAGAAGGGCAAGCAGTGGCGGCATGCTCTATCATTGTTCAGCGAGTTGTGGGAGGCGAAGCTCGAGCCAAGCCTCATCAGCTATAACGCTGCAATCAGCGCTTGCGAGAAAAGTGGGCAGTGGCAACAGGCTCTGCTGATGCTCAGTGCGTCAAGGGTGGCGAAACTAAAGCCAGACGCTTTCGAGGCTCTCTGCCGCGCACATCCGCCACCGCACTCGGAGGAGCTGCAGGTCAGCGCAGGAGCGTGGCATGGCTCTGTCGTTGCATGGTAGTCGCGATGCTTCGGGGGCTCCTTGGGGCTCTTGGGGGGCCCTCTGGGGGCCCTGAGGCTACCCTCAGGGCCCCCGTGCTGTCGTGGGGCCCGGCCTCGGGCGCGCCCCCGTGGACCGCCAGGCCGCCGGGGCCTCCCGAGCCGCCCAGGCGCCGCTCACTGGCGGCCTGAGGGCCGCCCCCGAGGCCAGTCCGGAGGCCACGGGGGCCTCGGGCTCGTCCCGCATCGCCAGTCCGCCTTCGGAGAGCCGTGGTGCCGCCAGGGGAAGGGTCCTGGGGCCATCTTGGGGAATTCCCTGCCAGTGATCACAACCGCGGGCCCTGCTCCCGCCGCCCATCGATCTGAGCCAGTGTGGGTTTATCGGTGGGGGCGGGTTTCAGTTCGGTGGGGCCCTCTCGCCATGTCTGGGCTCCCACCAGTGTCCTGGGGCGCCCCAAGAATTGGACGGGCAGGGGGAGGGTTCGCCACTGGCAGCCGTAGTGCCACTCTGCTCCGTTTGGGGCTCATCTTGGGCAGGCATCGGTCCGTCTTTGGCCTGACCATGGGCCCTGAGGGGCCGCGCGGGTGCGGAGGGAAACCCCCTTGGGCGCCCCGCCCGCCACTCAGTGAAGTAAGCCATGCAGTTTTGTCGCCGCTGCGCGGAACCGCTGCCGAACATGAGTGCCACAGCGTCCGTTTCGTGGGGGACGATCCGAAAGAAGTCAAAGGACGGCAGTGGCCAGCCAATGACGGCCCGAAAGAAGCACGAAGGGGTCGGCGCACGCCTTCTGCTGCAAGTGCTGCGCCTGGTCAGTTTCTCCGCTGGGATCAGCGCGTGTGAGGAAGGCGGTCAGTGGCAGCAGGCCTTGGCATTGCTCAGCGAGTTCAGTGATACGAAGCTCGAGCTGGATATCGTCTGTCACAGTGCTGCGATCAGCGCGTGCGGGAAGGAGGGTCAATGGCAGCACGCTCTATCACTGCTCGCTGTTTTGGGACAGGCGAAGCTGGAGGCCAACGTCATCAGCTACAGCGCTGCAGTTAGTGCGTGCCAGACAGGGGGTCAGTGGCAGCACGCGCTGTCGCTGCTAAGCGGGATGTTGAGAGTGAGGCTGGAGCCGAATGCCGTCAGTTTCAGCGCTGGAATCACAGCTTGCGAGAAGAGCGACCACTGGGAGCGCGCCTTGTCGCTGCTCAGGCTTATGCTGGATGCGAAGGTTGAGCCAGACGCTGTCAGCTTCAGTGCTGGGGTCAGCGCTTGCGAGAAGGGCGGGCAGTGGAAGCAGGCTCTGTCACTGCTTGCCGACATGACAAAAGCGAGAATGGAGCTAAACCCTATCAGCTGCAGTGCAGGAGTCAGCGCGTGCGGGAAAGGCGGGCAGTGGCAGATCGCGCTGTTGCTGCTTGGCGAGTTGATGGATGCGACAATAGAGTTGAGCGTCATTTCTCCTACACGGTCAGCAGAAACGCATGCCATAAGGGCGAGCATTGGGACGCGGATCAAGTCTATAAATCGCCCCCGGCGAGCCCTGACGAACCCTGCTTGGTTGCATCGCGTCTTAGCTAAATGTTATAAGGCTTGACACAGTTTCGCTAAGCCGTAAGTGAGCTTAAGTTGGTTTAGCTGAGCTGTAATATGGTTTAGCTAAGGCTTAACATGTCTTAGCTCGCGGGCAAACAACTTAACGACAGCTCATGTGTTGTGCAGGCTTATGTACAATTGCGTACATCGCGTTGATTTGTGCCAGCGCATGCTAAAGTATGGTAAGGTCTGTTACGACATGCTAACTCAACTTGAGGGTTACGCTAAAGTTTGTTAAACTAGTTTACTGTATGTTCATGTATGTTAACATATGCTGGCGTAGGTTCACATGTATCAGAGTCATCGTGATGATGGAGGGGGGATGGGGCGAGGAGGAGGGGACGGGATGCGCACAAGCAGGAGGAGGGGCCGCCGCTGCAGCGGCAGCCCGTCCCTGCATGGAGCTGCAGTTCCATTTCTTAGGTGCGGCTGTAACCACCGCCATGGCTGCGGCCTCATTTGTTTCACCCGCTAACGATAGCCAAACGGATTGAGCGCGATCGCGCGGCCTCCATCTCTGATGGACCACGCGGGCGCCGCCCGCATGATCTCATCGAAGGCTACGTATTGCAGCCTGGCACCAGCAGTCGTCCGGACGCTGGCGCAGTGGCTGCTGCCGCGACAGGCCCACCGCTCCACCAGCGCCGTGTGGAAAGGCTGCGGCATCCGCGGGGGGCACGCGATGGCAACCAGCTGCCGCACCATGCCCATCACGCGGCCGCCCCGTCGCGTCCCACAGCGCCGCGGCGTCGCCCACGGACACGCGGTCGCACTCGTTCAGGCGAGCGTGCTTGGCGACCCTGAACTGCAGGCCAGGGAAGGTGAACACCGTGGCCAGCTCACTCGCCAGTCGCCTGGAAGCGGGCGAAAACGAACGACAACAACACCAACAACAACACCAACAGCAGCAGCAGCAACATCAACACCAACACCAACACCAACAGCAACAACACCAACCAACAGCAACAGCAACAACAGCACCACCAACAACAACAATCACACCAACAGTACCAACAACAACAATACCACCACCACCAACACTAACAACAACACCAACACCAACAACAACACCGACACCAACAATAACACACCACACATCGCCTGGACGCGGGCTTGCTCGCCTGTAAGAGCCCCGCGTCCTTGGCGAACTCGTCGTCCGCGATGCCATGCGTCCTCTCGCACGTGACGTCCATCAGGGCGGACCTGTCCCACCCGTCGCACGTTTGAGAGCGGCGCTGCGAAACAGGTGGTTCGCGAACTGCTTCACCGTTTAGTGCTTCCGCTCCAGGGGCCAGCGCGTGGGCAGCGGCCCGAACTTTGCGATCAGCGCGGGCGCGTGCATGAGATCCGCGCCCGCCAGCGCGCGCGGGCGGGGAGCGGCCGCAGCCGCGACGGGGCCCACTCCCGCCGCTCCACGCAATCGTTGTCGCGCCCCGCCGTCGACGTCGCCAGGTGCCTGCCCCCGTCGCAGCCCTCACCTCCCGCCCCCCTCGAGTCGAGCTCGCTCCTCCCCCTTCCGTCCCCCGCCCGCCCTCGTCGTCGATGTCTTCGTCCGCGCGCCGCCCGCCCGCGCCTCGGGCGCCGTTGGATTCCTGCGCGGTTCGGGCCGCCGCGGCGTCACGCATATACATATAGCGATACGGATATACATGTGTGTGTGTGTGTGTGTGTGTGTGTGTGTGTGTGTGTGTGTGTGTGTGTGTGCGAACATGTGTGTGTATATATTTATATATGTATATAGATATCGGGTATTCGCCAGAGCTGCAGCTCGGCGACGCGGGGGCGGGCGGGAGAGCGGGGGACGCGATTGTAGAATGAAGCTGCGGCGTCATCGGGCGCTCGCCGCACAGGCGCTTGAACTCGTCCAAGTAGGCGGCCACTGCGCGCTGTGGATTCGCCGTGTCGACTGGCAAGCGATGGGCCTCGACGACGGCCTCAATGATGTCGACCAGCTGGCCGAAACACCGCGCGTGCACTGCGAAGTCGGGCACCCCGCGTGCCGACGACGCTGCGTCAAAGAAGTGCTTGAACCAGGGGGCCAGCGAAAGGCTCTCGGATGCCGTCGCCTTGAAGGCCACGTTCTCCCAATGGCTCTCGGCGCGCTTTGGCGCAAACGCGCCCGCCGTCCTTCCATCGCTTGTCTTTTGCCCTTTGCGCCCGATGGCGGGCCGCTGGAAGGTTTGCGCGGCCGCGTCCAGGGCCTTGCATGTAATGCTGTAGCCTCTCGCCGCCGCCATCGGCTGGCCCATGTGGAAAACCAAAGACGCCGTTGGCGAAAATGACGTGCATCACGTCCTACATGCACGTCTCCATGGGGTAGTGCTTGTGGATCGCGTGCGCGTTCCCGATCGGGCCGTTAATCGCGGCGGTGTGGGTTCAACCCAGCGTGGCTTCTAAGTCCTCCAGCTTGCCTTTGCTGTTGGGCACCAGTTTCAATGCCTGCAACTGCCTGGAGATGGACCTCAGGGCGGGGGCGTTGACACTGTCGAACTTGGTGCTGTCAGCGCAGATGTGAGGGGCGGCAGTCCCTGTCGGGTCGTGACGGTGGACCCCGCGGACGCTTATAGCGTCGTAAACATTGGAGCACTTAAGACATGGCTTCAGTCCGCCAGATCTTTTGCACCCAGATGTTGCATGAATGCTGCCCTCGTCGGCTAATATAGCACCTGGCCTGAGAAAAAAGGTGCATCGGGTGCCCGGGGCGGCCGGCGGTGACGCCCGCGAGCTCCGTGTCGTAGTCCCCGCCGAACAGGCCGACGATGGCGCTGGCCAGCCCCGGCGCGCCGCTCGCTCATTTCCGGGCCAGTGTGCTCCGTGCAGCGGCAACTTCCATCCGCGCGTCCTGCAGTGGGCGGCAGCCGTGGGGCGCTGGGTGGGCTGCAGCCCAGAGTTTGGTGGTTTGAAGGGGGGCTGGGCTTTGTGGCTGATGAGAATGGGCAACGGCCCAGAGTTTGCGTCGCCCGAGTCGCGTCCTCGTTGCCGAGGGTCGCTGGGCCGAGCTCGAGAGTGCCCCAGTGCCAGCCCCGGCGCTTCCTGTGCAGGGTCTGGGCGAGAGCGTTGCCACGAAGGACCTCGTCCGAACAGGAGGCGATGGTCCACGGGGCCGCTGGCGTGGGCGCCCGCGCGTGGAGCTGCAGGAGCTGGCCGCGTCCCGCGGGTGGCCCCACCCCGCGTGGGCTGCCCGCGCGACGGGGGGGCGACGCGACGAGGGCGGCGCCGCCAGGGCGCGCGGCTATGGTGCGCGTCCTGCACAAGCCGCTGGCCGACGATAACGGGGACCTCCTGATCCCGAACTGGGTCCAGATCGCGCTCCCCGACGAAGGGGTCACGGCGCGGGCCCTCCGCGCGACCCTGCGGGCGAAGAGCGCGCCGGAGGTGCCCGAAGAATTGGATGTGCACCTGCCGCCGCGCCCGCTGCGCCAATGCGGGTGGGTCGGGGCCGGCGGCGCCGACCCAGTGGGTCTGCGGCCCGATCTCGGCCGCAGCCGTGCGTCTCGCAGAGGGGGGCCCGAGGTGGGGCCCAGCGGAGCGCCGCCGCGGCAGCGTGGAGGCTGCGCAGCGGCTCAGAGACGGCCTGCCGCCGCCCGACATCCGGGCCCCGATCGCGGCGCCCGCAATGCGGGAGTTGCCCGAGGCCCTGTCCGAGGGCCCCCCCGAGGCCCCCGAGAAGGACGCAGTCGCGCCAGACGATCCGCCCGTCGTGGAGGGCGCCGCAGGCCAGGAGGGGGCCGCCGAGGAGCTGGGCTGGGCGCCAGCCATGGCACGGGGGCCCCCCCCGCCAGTGCAGCCCCGGGGGATTGCATCAGAGTGGAGGTCCAGCCTCCGCCCGTGGGGGCCCCGCTGCCGCGCCGCAAGGCGCGCCTTATTCGCGCGGCGCAGGCGCCTGGCCCTGGAGGGGGAGCGGAGCGCCGGCGGCAGCAGCTTCGTCGATGTCAAGACGTGCGACGCAGGCCCGGAAAAAGTGCCGTTCGTGGAGCTGCTGCGGGAGCCGCTCGGGCGCCCCTCATCGGTCGCCCGGGCCCCGCCCCGCCCGGGTGGCGGCCCGCCTGCGCCCCGGGGGCAGCCTCGGGCGCGGCCGCCCCGCCCTGCTCGGAGATGGCGGACGTCGGCGGCGCGACGCTGGCAGCGCAGTCGCCCGACCAGGCAGCCACGTTAAGCGACGACTTCGAGTGTGCGTCGGCTGCGCCGGAGGGGGCGCCCGCTATAGCCCTGGCGAGCAGGCCGAGGGGGGGCAGGGGTCATCAGCCGCGGAGCTGTTGGCGGAGGCCGCGCCCGCCCGGGCGTGGGCCGACCCCTTCGGCATTTTCGACGACGTCCCAAGAGGAGGCGACCTCCTCAGGCGCGCGTGGAGCGCGCCCGCCGCGCCGCGCGGGGAGCGCCCCGATCGACGGACCGCGCCACCTCGCAGAGCTCGAGAACGCCGAGGCCCAGATGGCGTTTGAGGCCGTGGCTTGTGGCGCGTGCTGGGTCTACGAGCTGGGCTGGTGGCAGTGGGTGCTGTTCTGCCCGATCAGGGTTCGGTCGCCGGTCTCCAGGGAAGAGGCGGCCTCGTCGGCCGACGGGCGCGAGGCGAAGAGGAGCTGCTGCTTTTCATCGCGCGCGTAAGCGTGACCATGAGGAAGGCCCTCGGGGCTGTCAAGCAGCGGGTCCTCGGCGTCAAGCCTCAGCGCGTGGCAATCGGCGCTGGCGGCCCTTTGGCGGGCAAGCCGCGGGCCTGGCTGGCGCTCGGGGGGCTCGCGCGTCGAGGCGGCGCCCGCCCTCGGAAGTTCCCCGCCACGGCGCGCGCGATGAAGCTGATCTTGGCACTGTACCGCCCAGCCGAGGTGCCCGACCACGCGGTGATCTGATATGCGTTGGCCTCGGCTTGTTTTTTTTTGTCCTGGCGCGCGTCGGGGGGCGCGCCTGGGGCCGCGGTTGGGGCGGCGACGAGGTGCTGCCCGGAGGTGGCGCGGCAGCGCGCCGCGGAGGCTGTCCCGCGTCGAACTCGAGGGAGGTCGACGAGATCATTGCGTGGTTCAAGAGCTCCAAGCCGGACGGGCTGCAGGCAGGAGCGGCGCGCAACCGCTGCCGCGCCGGCGAGGGGCTCTGTCCGGCGCTGGCGGCGGAGTGGATTCAGCAGCACTTCCCCGAACGTCTCGCGACCGAGAAGCATCTCCCGCTTTTTGCCGCTGGCGAGACGGGGCGCTGGCGAAGCGCGCGTAGCTGCAAGATGTGCTCGAGCAGGTGGTAAGGGAAAAGGGCCTCCCCGCCGAGCGCATGCGACCTCGCTCGGCGCGCATCGGAGGTGCCGCCGCCCTCGCATCTATCTGGGCGTGGAGCTGATCGAGAGGTTCGGGCGCTGGAGCAACGCCTCCTTCCATGGGGGGCGAGCGAGGGTGCGACGGGCGGTGGCCGCTGGCATGGCAGGAGATGCGATCTGCTGCGCGTCGGCTACCGCCCGGCGAGAGCGGGCGCAAGACGTCGAGGCAAGCCGCGCCATGGGGGGGGCAAGAGCAAACGTCGGGGCGGGCCCGAGGGCCCGGGGGGGTGTCTCAGGGCGGCCGCTGCTCGCGCCCGGGACAGGGGCGTGGAGGCGCGTGCATCTCGCGCCCCCCCGGCCCGCCAGAGCTCGCAGCCCCGCTGCCACCGCGGCGAAGGAGGAGACCAGCGCAGCCACGACAACGTGAGGAATGAGCGCCCGCTTCGAGGAGGAAAACGGCGAGGCCGCGCCGCGGGGGGCGGCCGCCCGCGCCCCCTGGCGCTAGACGCCGAGGCCGCTGGCGCCGCCGCCGCGGGCGACCCGCCGCCGAGCAGCGGGGCTTGAGGGGCCCGCGGCGGAAGCGCTGGCGGCGCAACCGAGTGCCGGACATCTAGTGCAGCGGGGCCGGAGGGGTCCGCGGCTGGTTCGCTGGTTGGCGCTAGGGGCTCAGCCGGGCGCCATCCCCGCCGCTGCTGCTAGGCGCCGGCCCTGGCAGGGGGGGTGTTCATGAGCCCGCGCCAGGCCCTGAGTGGATGAAGTGTGGGGGGGGGGGGAGGGGCCAGGCGCTGTCCTCTGCCGCGCCAGCCAGCGCGGGGGGCTGCGGGCGCCCGGGCGCTGGCGCCAAGGGCGGCGCGCGCCGCCGCCGAGCTGTCCGCGGCAAAAGGCGCGCTTCGTTCCCCTGCTTTTCTGGGGGGTCTGCGGGCTCGAGTTTTTTTGGCCCGGTAGCGCGCCGAACCCCATCTCTCTTCGAAGGCCCGCCTGCGCCACCCGTGAAACTTTGTTCCCCCCTGCGGCCGCGGGGGCCCCAGCGGCTGGGGCGGGCGCTCTCCACTGCCGCGCAGGCCAGCGCCGGAGGCGCAGGGGCCCCGGCGTTGGCGCCAAGGACGGCGCACGCTGCCGCCGAGCTGTCCAGGGCAAACGGCGTTCTCTGCTCCTCTGGCTATTTTGGGGGTCCGCGGGTCCGTTTTTTCCCGCGGGCGTCGAGTGGCCCAGATGGGCCGAATCAGCATGTTTTGTGCTTTCTGTGAGCTGTGCTTGTAAACGAGTCCACGGACGGCCCCGGAGGGCCCACGACAGCCAAGACGGCCCCCAAGACGGCCCAAGAGGACCCAAAGACGGCGAATTCGACCTGACATTCCGCGCCCTCCATTACAAGGTGGCCCCCAAGATCGCCAGCAGGCCCCAAAAAGGCACCCGAGAAACCTCTGGACCATCAAGAGAATCAAATCAGACCCCAAATTGCCCCCGAGAGGCCCCAGGACACCGCCAAAACCGCCTCCCAGAGGTCTCCTATGGACGATCCCTTTGGCAGCTCCGGGACCGCGCCAGCCACCCAGAAATTCGGCACTCACGCGCTTCTTTTGTTCCCTGCTTTGTTCGAGCGGCTCTGCTTTGACTGGGCGACCCGTCGAGATCTCTTTGAGGGTGCTCCGGGCCCGTTGGCCGCCGGGGGCGTGCTCCGCAGTGCCTTTTGTTTTCTTTCGAGCCTGCCCAGCCAACGCGTATCCTCCGACTTCTCGGACGGCCACAGCAACGATGGAACATCGTTAAGAATAGAGCGCGCGTGCGCTTTTTCCTTGCAGGCCTTGGCCCTGATACCGGCCCCAGGCGGCTCAAGATCGTCCCAGGGCGGCTCAAGACGCCCCCCCCCCGCAGCTCCTCCCCCCCGAAGGCTCAGCTGGGCTCCGAGGTACCCCAAGACACTTCAAAAAACACACGAAATGGCTTAATATTTGGCCCAAAAGACCCATTACAGCTTACGGACGCAAGCAGGAGCAATCAGCAGCAGTAGGCAGAACGGCAGCAAGCAAGCCAGGAAACAAGCATCAAACACCAAACCTGCCAACAAACAAGAAAACAAGTAAGCAAAACGCAATCAAACAGTGAATGCAAACAGGCAAAATGTTCGCAAACAACCATCGCAACAACCCGCCTACACAAACAGGCGGGTGATATCGATTCCTCGAGCCTCCAACACTACGTCCCTCAACATCGACAGAGTGTGTGCGGAATCGGTCAGCGGAACCGGGGTGTTTTTTTTTCAGGACTTTCTCATCCTAGATCGATGCTTGACACCCACAGGGGCCAATCACAGCTCCTGATGTTTACAAGGACGACAAACTCCCTCGAACTTCGACGTTTCCCGCCAAGGCATCTCCCCTCGGTCGTTGCTCCTCCCTTCTCGCTCTTCGCTCTTCGCTGATCGCCCATCACTTCGCCGCCTCGATGACCTCGATGTTCTCGATCCTAACTCCTCGCTCTTCGATCCTCTCCTGGCAGCATGTGTCGTCAGAGCGCTGAAGTAGCAAGACGCATCACCCTGCAGCATCAAGCAGCAGCAGCAGCGAACGGCAGCAGCACGAAGCGGGCAGCAGCAACCGGAGCGAACAGCAACAGCAGCACTGCTAACAGCACGCAGCAGCGGCAGCAAGCAGCAGCACGCAGTAGCATGCGCGGAGTGCGAAGTTCAAACCCCACAGCATCGTGTCAGCCTTTCGGCAGCATGGCCACCAGCACATGCATTTCGTGCAGATTTCGTGGACGTAGTTTACAGGTCAGCCCTAGTCAGCTACAGCGCCGGAATCAGCGCCTGCGAGAAGGGTGGGCAGTGGCAGTTGGCAGTGTCGTTGCTCGGCGACTCGCAGGAGGCAACGTTGGAGCTTGATTCCATCAGTTATAGTGCTGGAGTCAGCGCTTGTGAGAAATGTGGGCAGTGGCAGCAGGCGTTGTCGCTGCTCAGGGAATCGTGGGAAGTGAAACTAGAACGCAATATTATAAGCTATAGCGCTGGCATCAGTGCATGCGAGAAAGCAGGTCAGTGGCAACAAGCTCTGCTGCTGCTCAGCGAGTTGGGGAACGCACGGCTGGAGCCAAACACCATCAGCTATACAGCGGGCATCTGTGCATGCGAGACAAACGGGCAGTGGCAACATGTAGTGACATTGCTTGGCGATATTTGGGAGGCGAAGTTGGAGCCACAGGTCATCAGCTATTCGGCTGCCATCAGTATGTGCGAGCAAGGCGGGGAATGGCAGCAGGGTATCATGTTATTGTTATGGTTTTGGGAATCGAAATTACAGCGGGGAGTCTTTGTTTGACCTTGATGGTCGTTTCGCTGAACAAGGGAAGCCGGGGCCGATCGCCATGTGCTGCGACACCGCCAATGCCCAAGACCAAGAAGGCCGAACGGCTGTATACGACCAAGTTTGCAGCGAGCCGTGGATGTGAAATTGGATCAGGGCATATTCGCTGCAGAGGTTGATAATACGTCAGTGGTGTAAGGTCGATTGTTCAAGAGCGTGCTCTGAATGGAACCTCGTGGGGCTGCTTGGCATCGAGATCCGCACCGCGAGTAACCACTCAGCGAGTATGGGGCGCAGCCCCCGCCTGCGCGGTATGGCTGTCAGGCCAGAACTGATCCGAAGGGATGTCAGTCCGCGGGCGCCCTGTGAACAGTCAATTGCACATGGGTCTGAGTGGATGCGCAGGCAGGCGGCGCCACGTGTTGAGGTGCAGCCAGTGCACCGCACGTGCCTGCCCCTCCCTTTCTCCCTAGCTTCTCCGGGGCCCCGATGCTGGCCTTTCCGCCCCTCTGAGGGCCTTTGCGTTTAGTTGTCTGTTTACTTGTAGGCGTGCTGGCAGCGTATGGGCCTATGCGAATCACATTCCGGGGCCGCCAGGCGCGCCTCTTGCACCGACGTCTGCCTCCAGTGTTTCATGTCCACTTTGAGTTCTCACTCCCTTTATATCGACACCCAGACGTGCTGGCCAGAACTTCGAGGCGGATCGAGCCGTGCCGCACGGGCGACCCAGAATGCCCCAAAAAGGCGCCCAGATGGTCAACCGCCTCCACCTGTTCCTCCTCCTCCTCCTCCTCCTGCTCCTCGTTTTGCTCCTCCACCTCCCTTTTCCTCTTCTTCTCCTTCCTCCCTCCTTCTCCGGCCTCCTCCTTCTCCCTCCTCCCTCCTCGTTCTTCTCCGAGCCGTTCCGAGGCCCACGTGCCTCTGCAATCGCGAACTCTTCCGAACGGCCTTGCGATTGCGAGCCGTTCTTTCTTCTCTCCTTTTCGCACAGTTACTTTGCAGCAGTCGCCACGGCGTCCCCCGCTGCTGGTCATGGCGCTGGGGGTGGCTTGCATGGTCGCTGGCGTCGATCTCAGCGTGCCAGCTTGGGCCTCCCGCTTCTTCCTGGCCTTCAGCTTCCTGCAGCCGATTCGTGGCAGTCTGGGGGCATGCGCCCGTCAGGTGGAGGTGGATAGGGACCAGATGCAGGCTTTCCTCAGTCGTGGTCAAGTGCCTGTTGCGGATGCAGGAAGAACCGTGTATCGTGGCATCGGTGTACGCATTGCAAGCAGCTGTGGTATGCAACACCATCTTCAGTTTCGGCTGCTGGCGACGGCGGAGCTGGTGGGACCAATTCCTCGCCGGCAGGTGGCGACAAAGGTGGTGGTGATCAGCCTGGCATCAACGCTCTCTCCGTTTCAGAAGTTGATCAGCTGTCTTGCATCATGGAATGAGGCTGTGCCAGGGCTGCGGCGGTCATGTACCGCAGAGAGGCCCAAGCCAGACGTCAACCTGTGGTTGAACATCCTCTCCAGACGCAGGCCAAGTTGGTCTACAGTACGATGCGTGCTGTGGAAGGGGGCGCGCTGCCCGCGCCCCCGCCCCCCCCGAGGCGCCGCGGCAGCTGCGGGCCCAGCCCCCCGGCGCCCGGCTGCAAAGGAAGGCGGCAGCGAGGCCGCTGAGGCCGCTGCCCGCCCAGAGCCCCCTGCTAGCGACCGCCGGTCGCCGGCTGCGTCGGAGGTCGACGTCTCGCTCGACCACCGCGAAGGCAGCCCGCGGGGCGCAGACGGCCCAGATGCAGAGCACCAGGCAGACCCCGGAGCAAGCCTAGGCGCGGCAGACCTCACCCAGGCCGCGCCAGGCAGCCCGCGGCACAGGTACCTGCCCACGCGCCCACCCCGCCGCCGCGGGACGAGCGGCCCCCAACAGGCAAGGGAGCGGCACACACCAACGCAGGCGGACCTACCACCAGCGACCGCCCCAGCGGCAGCCCCCCGGTCGGGCCTGGCGCTGCGGCGGCTGGCCCTAGCGATGGACGGGCGCGGAAGTCTCCTAGGGCGCCCGCGCGCGAGGGCCCAGGCCATCCTGCCAGCCCCGGGTCCCCCCCTACCGCGGGCTCTGTCCGCGCGGCCAGTGAAGCGCCGGGGGGGGGGGCCGAGCCCCCCCCGGGCCCACCGTGGCTACGTAGACGAGAAGGATCCCAACGATGGCCTGTATGCGAAGCCCCGCCGATCGCTGATCTATCGCCTTGGCAGAGCTGGGAACTATTGGGCCCGCGACGGGGGGACCTGGCCAGAGGTAGCCAAACGGCTGAAGCGGAAGTGCGGGGCCTTCTTCGTCGAGGGATGGAACGGCATCGGCTACCGCGGGACAGAAAATCCAAGCGGCGGGTCACCTGCAACCGTGTTGGGCGAGACGATTTCTGCAAGGAATTCTTGGCTGACCTGGGGCACTTCTGCCATGGCATCCGTTGTCGACTCTGCTGATGCCGCGGCGTTGGGATGGGCTGGGGCGGGGTCCAGCAGCGCCAGCTTCGTCGTGGCGAGGGCCGCCGTGACGAGGGCCTAAGCAAATGTAAGGGCAGGGTCCTGTAGGGGAAAGGCAAGCGACGGGCCGATCCCACCTGGCCTGGCAACGACCATGCGAGGCGGCGCCTGCCAGGCCTGCCGGGCCTTTTGGACGCCTGCTTGGGTTTCGGCTCCAGCAGGGCTTACTGCCCTGCTCCCGCCCCAGGGGCAGCTGCCGCGGCGCTGGCCCGCGACGGCCCGCCACCTCTCGCGGCGCTGCCCTGTCGCGTCGGAGTCGACCTGGATTCTCCCGCGTGCTCCGCGCCGCCCCCCCAGGCGGCGCGCGGCCTTGATTCCGCGAGGGAATGCGCCCATGAGGCGCGTGCGCTGTCCTCCCCGGGCGGTGCGTGGCCTGCTTCCTCTCTCTCCGCTCGGCTGCCTGCCGGCTGGGCCCCCGCCCCTGGCGCCGCGCTTCCCGGCGCGCGGACCAGGCCCTATAGTCTCCCCAGGCCTTGCGGCCGCAGCTTTGCCGCCCCGCTGCGCAGCACCGGGCGCAGCGGGCGCCGCGCAGCTGCGGGGGCTCCCCGCGCGTGGGTCGCCGCCGGCGGTGGGCCGTGGGCCGCCGCTGCCCCGCTTGCGGAGGGTCTCCCGCAGGCGGGGCGCTCCTTCTCCCTTCCTCCCCCCTTTCGCCTGCCCGCTTCCCTCCCTCCCTTCCCGCGCCGCCTTGGCGCCGCTGGCTGCCGCTCCTGGCGCGCAGTTTCCCACTGGTGATTCTTGCTGCGGGCGTTGCGTTAGGGCGCGCCCCCCGCATCCTGCCGCCCAGTAGGATCAGCAACTGCCTTTGGCAATTCCTGGCCCTTGGAACATACTCTACCACGGACTGTGCCTCGGCAGCGTCCGTGCATGCACTGGCGCCGCGGCCCGGCAGCTGCCGCGGCTCCCGCTGCCGCTGCCGGCCGCGGTGGCGCGCCCAGCTCGGGATTCTTCCGCGTCTGAGTGCCCTCCGCCCCCTCTTGTTCTTCGCGGCCGCCCTGTCAGTCTTTCTCCTTTTTCCTCGCGCGCCGGCCAATTGGCGCATCGGTTGCGCCAGTTGCCCGCTAGCTGGAGCAGCGCTTTTGCCTCGCCGCCGACGCGCAAAGTTCCGGGGGGGGCTTCTGGTGCCTGGGGCCCTCGCGACAACCGAGTGTGTTGGCGAATTCCACGGTCGGTTGATTGACCCAAGTGATTTCATTCATTTTGGAGACGGGTCCCGACCATGCTGGATTATTTCGCGCGTAGAGGAGGTCTTTTCAAGGCCGTGGCTTCGCGGCGGCTGGTCGATGACGTGGGCCTGAGCCCGCGCCGTCCTGTCGACCTCCTTGTCTACCGCGCGCTTGCGGGGCTCCGGGCGCTTCGCTTTCGCAGGGCCTCGCCCGCCATTTCCATCTGGCCCTGTCTTTAGGCCGCGACCCCGCTGGCGGTGCCGGGAGAAGGTGCCCGATGTTGCTCGGGGGGGTTTGCAGGCGCTGGGGGGGAGGGAAAGGCGCTGAGGTGGGGGGCCTTCTTCCTTTGGGCTGCGGAGCCTGGGCCAGCACTGCCGAGCAGGAGCTCGCTCCGTTCCTCGGCGCCGACCTTGCGAGGAAAATGGTGTCGAGTGCGGGCCCTCGTGTCATGTGGAGATCGAAGGTTGGTAGGGATGGGGGGCCGACGTGTCCCGCCCATCGCGCCATTCGCTGGTTGCGGGCCCGAACGGAGAGCCCGGCAGCCTTGCGGCGAGACGACCGAGGCGGCTGCAGGCGAGCTTGGGCCATCCATTCTTCTTTTCTGGCATGGCCCGTTTCTATCGCCGCTCGCGCGAGCGAGTTTCAGGGGTGAGATTGCGTCGGTGGCTGACGCGAGGTGCCAGGCGCGTTCGAATGCCGACTGGGAGGCGCGGCCCGCTTATGGATTGGACGGGGGAGCCAGGCGGGTGCATGTGCGAGGGGCCCCGCGCTTTGGCGAGTGAAGACTGCGCTGGCGGCGGATTGGTCGCTGGTGGCGGGCCCCCTGCCTCTTTTATCGAAGGAAGGTGACGTGTTCAGTAAGTTTTGGGCCAGTAAGATCCCGTTTCTCTATTGCTTGGGGCATGACGGGCGTCATGGCCCCCGCTCCCCCCCCCTTATGACGTAACGCTCCCCCCCAGTGCGCTCCGGGCACTGCCGCCGTGCGCGTTGAGATCCGCGTGGGTGTCCGCATGGGAATCTGGTCCGCAGTCTTCGTCGTCGTCGTCGTCGTCGTCGTCGTCGTCGCCGTCGTCGCCTTAGTCGTCGTCATCGCTCGTGGCTGGTCGCTCGTCGCTCATCGTCGTCGTGCGCGCGGACGCGGCTGGAACCTGTTTTTTATTCCGGGTCGGTGACGTCACGTTTCGCGCCGGCCAGCGGCTTCTGGGAATGCTTAGGAATGACGGAGGATGGGTATCACCAGCATGTAGGTGGCGATCTGCACCACAACGCCTGTGTACACCACACTGCCTGCGTGCACCACAGCACCTGTGTACACCACACTGCCTATGTACACCACAGCAGCCGCGTGCAACACAGTGTCAGTTTGTGCCACCGTGCCTGCGGGCACAACATCTGTTGTGTACACCACAGCGCCTGCATACACCTTATCAGCCGTGTGCAACACAGCACCAGTGTACATCACAATGCTTGCGTGCATTGCAGTGCCTGCGTACAACACGGCGCTTGTGTGCACCACAGCAACCGTGTGCAACACATCACCAGTGTTGTATATGGAATGTTAGAAGGAATCCTTATGGCAAAATGGTGCGTTTGTGGGTTCCATGGGAAACAATGGAAAGGAATCCTTATTGACAAAGGAGCGCCGTTGGAATCTACGATTCCGCCCGAGTCCGCCCGCATCACCCGAACTCCTCCCATCTGCGTCCAGGAGGCTCCATCTACATTGGCCGTGCGAGAACCAAGTGGGCCGATTCAATAGACCATTCTGCGGTGCACGCTGAGATGCGCACGTGCGCTGTAGCGCCAATCCGCACGACAGGGGGTGAGGAGGAGGAGGAGGAGGAGGAGGAGGAGGAGGAGGAGGAGGAGGAGGAGGAGGAGGAGGAGGAGGTGGAAGTGGACGAGGAGGGAGGAGGGAAGAACGTCGTTTTCGACTATCAGCATTTTGCAGCACGCAGGCATCGTGGTGTACACTAGCGCTGCGTTGACGCGGATGCTGTGGTGTAGACAGGCGCTATGGCGTGCAGAGACGCTGCGATGCACGCAAGTACTGTGGTGTACACAGGCG